ATTAGAGATCTGTCTACCTGATCGTGGTCCATTATACCGACAGTGGTACGTGCAATTTCCATGCAGCTCTTGTTCCGGAGTTACATATGTTGAACAAATAATTGATGCAATTTGACAAAAACAGTTACATTGAGGATTATAATTTCTACGAATATCCATTATACAGCACATGTTGTACAATATATATACACAGAATAATCAGCGCAATATTAAATAATGTTTATTAACATTAATGATAATAAAAACATTGAACGCATGCATAGATAAGCTTACACAGAACGATCCGTTAGACATAAGTTAATTAGGTCCAATGCTTCCTTAACGGTTACTAACTTAATACACTGAATGCTTCAAAGTTATTAAAAAATGATATTTACGAGAAAAACAAATCTACAATATTGCGTTGCAGAAATTGCATGTAAAATGATAATTGAATACAATCATTCAAACATAGCACTACGTTGAGCGGTAATTGTATCTTACCAAATACTGAGAAAATAGTATAATGATGGAGTTTATTGTTTTTCTGGTCACAACGGTATACATTAGTGTGCGAAGGTATAGTTTTGTGTGTGTGATTTTGTGTTGTTATGAAGAAGTGATGCCTGATTGGTTCAAAGCACTAAAGTAGAGAAATCATCGACAGCACCTTATGTTAAACCCTGATGCCAGTAAGCGGTATAGTCCTCGGTATAGAAATGACTCATTCGATACAGTTTGAATATTGATTACATTTCTGTAACAAAATGCATTATAAATAATGTAAATAAAATAAACTATTGTATTCAGTCAAGGGTTTATAAAATGTGTAGGATTACAGCTTGCTGTTTTTAAATCTAATAACACAATATTGTTTTTGTTTGGTTTACAGGGCAGGGAAAAACCGATCAGGCTGATTCTAAATAACGACAATGTATGACAAATGCTATCGACAAATCTTAGTCATTCTCTAGTTAACATACAATCGCCACCTGCAGACACAGTCTACATGGTAAAATCTACTTTGAATCTAGCGTATCACATCGTTCAAAAGAAAGCAAACAAGATAAATTGAAGATTAAAAGCAGTCAAATGAAATGAAGTCCTTTGAATCAATTATATAAAAATGATAGAAACGATCCAATCTAGCTTGATATCTCGGATAAAATGAAACATTCGGATGATTGTCGCCATTTCTGCGTGATCGCGTCAGCTAGTTATTGTCGTTCAATCGCAAAGCTACACTTGAAGATCAAGATCGCCATGTTGGAAAATACCAATGAGTTAAACGCTTTTATGGCATTAGTTTAATGAGTTATAGATGGAGTAACGAGGGGGTCTAGAGAAAACATATCGCTACCATTAGTTTAATGCGCCCAGTGCTAATGGACAGAGTTATAGACGGAGTAACAAGGGGGTCTAGAGAAAACATATCGCTACCATTCCTATCATTGGGATCACAGTTGTTAGAGAATACCAATTCGATCTTAGTCTGCATCAATGAAAGTTTGAAGACTGGTATTAACAGAAACTAGCGTCATTTATGTTTAGATTGCCGCAACCATCAGACTGGCGCTTGTCAGCTTGTTTGGTGTCCTAAATCGTCTAATCATTCCCAAGTAACCTTACTGGAATATTATCTGGACACAGAATCTACCAACCTAGCGATATCTAACGACCATCGCTGGGGAAACCAGTTACACAAAGAGCAGGACTGGTCAACCATTGAGATCGTATCATATGTAGATTTAAAATCGAACCACTTAGAAGAAACGTTCGCCAAATATAATTTATGTTTCTAGGAATCTAAGAGTAAGTGTGTTTGTCAGTGAAGCATTTCATATAAATTCCATGAGTGGCTCTATGATTTTAAATGAACATTTCCGGACACATTTATAACAATGATAAAAATATTTTTCATGGACCATTAAATTAAATAAGTAACATGTTTATATTGTTTTCCATACCGTTAGTTTTACCACTGCAACATTTGTTTGTACTTTGTTTCATTTCTGTGTAATAATTTCTCCTTGCTGTTGTTTGTGAATATATATATATTTGATAAAGGTGTTTCATGTCAGGAAGGGGTCTGATATACATCTGTGGCCCTGCCCCTTTATCGAGCCGGCATTGCGTGGTAAATAAGCCCCATACATACGGCCCGGCCACGATAAGACTACTTTTCGTTTTATCGTGTGTTTTTTTCACCTAACTGTTTTCTCGTTGACTTTCGGACCAGGGCTAACTTGACGGTTAGCACAGTAACGGGCATGTGTGATATTTGTTGAAAATGACAGATGTATACCATCAGATTACAAACGTTACAACTCGTGTTTTATTATCTACGGAATCAGACGTACACCCATGGCTGAGAATATTGTCGTGGCCTTGGGCCTGATTCCATTTTCCATCCGCAGGTCAGCCCACAACACGACAGTCGTGATGTGTCCATAGTGTTAACATTATCACAAACACGTATTTGGAGATATTATAGCTTTAAATGATTATTGAATATTCTAATTCTAAAAGCTTTTAGTATACAGAGTTTAAACTCAATTGTTCCCTTCGTATTTGCTGTTCAAATGCAATTTCTTAACAGGTTTGTTTAGAAAAGGGACATTTTAAACTCAATTTTGTGGATTCTACATCATTTTCATCCCATCTAAAAAAGAATTTAAATCGCTTATCGGATACAATCAGTTTGTCTCGAAACAGAGCCGTCTCCGTTCACACGTTTTGTGGAGTACCTCTCAATTAAGTGTAATTTTAGCATTTAATTTATTTTTCAAATTTAAGTGTTCAAAAAACTGTGTTACAAAAAACTGTTTGAAACCAAAATATTTTCGAGAAGAGGTCGCCTGTTGAACGTTAGCACTTAGGTGTAAGTTATCCCTTTGTAATTATAGTGTTTGTTCGCAGACCTTTCCTCCGTTTGTTTTTAATCACGCGTACAATATGTGTGAAATGTGCTATAGATAACACAACTATTTGTTTATTTCACATAACTGAAAGAAACACTTACACCTATTAAGATGATTAGAAATATATATCATCATATAATTTTACTGTTTTGTAAACCATCAAACTATTATGGTATAAATAGTCTAATTTGTCAAGTATGAAAGAGATCACAAAGCGCAGTTTACAATATTAAATTATCGCCATTCAGAAATAATTTTAACAACACTCAACGTTTACACATTCTCGTTACGAGGTTTCAGCCATACATTCTAAATACGGACCTGTTTAAAGTAGACGTAATAGGTACACACATCTACATACCGATGTTATCAGTGAAATGATCACCAGCTTTCTTTTCATCTCCCTTTTTATCATAGGAAGCTAATATATTTTACTTTTTTGTTTTATTATCTCTTAGATATACCCAATATGGCTGGTTGGAAGGCTAATGATCAACATTACCATGGCTATCTGGCCTTTTATCGACAACCATGGTATGATCGAACGTTGCTATACCAGGGGATAGTGCGTACATTAAGCTCTGTATTATTCAATAGTAGACACATGTTGAAATGTAAGGCTAATTAAAATCTGATCTATGCAATTGTGTAAAAAAATATATGAATATTAATATTCGATCTTATCACAGCTATACAGTGTTCATTTAAAATTTAATGCATATATGTCATTATTAAATGTCCTGCAAATCTAAACTTAAAAGAAATTCTGCACCACCAGTATATATAATTCTGCTTAATTCATTCACAGGAAGTTATGTTCTAGATTTGTTTTTATCTCTCCTAGATTTATCGTAATATATGCATGTCATATTCCCGAGGCGATATTGATTACTTTGACTAATGGTATGCAGGTCCGATACATCACTTGCATTTTCTATCCAGAAAATTAAAATATATTTTAAAACGTTAATAGAACCATGTTTTTGTTAACAATTGATCATTTATAATTATTAATTAATCGCGCAATCAGCATATTGACTTACTTGCGTTGCATATTTATCTTTAATAATTATCTACAACAAAACTACACTATGTTAAGTGACTAAAACATCTCATTTATATTCCGTCAGAAACAGTACATAGTGTCATGTATTTTTTTAGAATATAAACGTTAATTTAAATTTGGGTACGCACTATTTTATTTTACAGATGTCGGTAATAAAATTGTCAATTGTTAATTTGTTTTTTCTTTAATCTGTTATTTTCCCAAAGAAAAAACCCAGGTTTAGTTCAAGAGGTAAAGTATGAATCAGATATGGTTTATACCACGATATCTGATTTACACGTTTTGAAAACATTGTGAGAACGTTTTCCCAGTATCTTACTGCCGGTTCAACCTACAGGACAACAGAAGCACAAAACTTGTTATCACTTCTAAAATGGTATTTTTTAAATGCCCATAAAACATTTACCAATCAAATTTCATACAAGCAATATATCTGCATCCCCGTAATGGTGAAAAGCGTCGAGGCTCAGTGTGTCCTCCACAAGTGTTGCCCACATATATGTATACAAGTGGTGGGAAAAATCAGTATCGGTTCTGACGAACAACTTTTATAAAATGTCTGAATCAGATAAACTTGGAGTCCCGCGTCACTTGTGGCCAAACCACCAACTGTGTTCCATGTCAGGGGCTTCACTCTAAAATCGAATTTAAAAGAGGTTACATGATAACTCTCACCATTTTCTCATACGATTACTTTTTACAAGTGAAAAACATTATCAATTTATCGTTTGTTGACAAATTTATCAACAAGTGAACATACGTACGTTATGAAATGAGTGCATGCTTGTATTTTATTTGTTTGAGTCGTCAGTCGACATTTGACTAGCGCCTGTAGTGGCCGCCACCGGTAATACTAAGTAACATTGTTGACAAACTAATCATTGTTAGTAAAAAGAACAGTAGGTAATACAACCTAAACCTGCTGTGAGAAATACATATTTATTTGTCAGTTATTATAGATTTTAGACTATGTAAAGATTCTGAAGCAGATTTACATAAACATTTCTTTTTACAATCTGCCTATTTGTTACCAGGTCAATCTGACGGTGAGGATGGGGATGATGACATGGAAGAAAAACTAGGATCAAACGACGAAGAAGATATTCTAGAAAAAGTGTCTCCTGACGAGTATACTGTGCTAAACCCCACATCTCCACTTACGGAGAGTGACAGTAGTGTTGACCGGAAATATTCATCCACGACGTTATGCAACAATGACGTCACATCCGACATTTCAAATGAAAGAGCAACGGACATTTGTGTATCTCCTTCAGAACTTGATTTCCTGAAGTCTCTGAGTTTCCCGAGCGACATCCTGAGTCTACGGAAGGTTGAAGGTGAGGAGGCCCTCCGCGTTGGTCGACCATACATCGTGTGCACCGCCATCCCATTACAGAAAGGCAGTAGTATTGGTCCATTCCTTGGAGAACACGTGTCCCTCAGTTCCGTCCGTCAAGGTGACCTCGTCCTACAGGTAACAACTTTTTTCCGGGTAAAACGTTTTAAATCAACTGTTACACATGGACAGTTGTACGTCCTAAAATATAAATTGCATTAACATTAAACTCATATAATGTTTCTAATTACTATATACAGTTTATATGTGTTTGTGTTCATGAATAACTGATTGGTACACACTTTTATGCATACAACTGTTTATATATATACATGTGTATGTTGTTTTATGTGTGTTTTATGCTTATTAAAAATAGTTTACCTATTAAAATGTACCTATTTAATATTGATATTTTTTAATATTATTTTGTCGTATATGTACTAATTGAATCAAAGGGATTATGAACGGTAATTTACAACCTGTTTTTGTGTACATTTGTACTTTTTATAAGGTTTTCCCCAATATCATTTGACCGTTATCCAGAGAATGTGTTTGAACATACTGATAGCGCCAGTCATATATATGTATAACTATATATAGCTACCTGACATATTTTAAGTATTTACATTGTCACTGTTTTATACAGAAACATTATTTTTGTTTCAATTTTGTTTTCTGTTTGCAAAACGTAACGTAACCCGATGGACACATTACAGTTAGCCGGACTTGCCACAGTAGCTGGGTGTGAATGGGGCAATAATCTTAATAGTTTTTCCTGTATAAAATACATTGAAAACTAAAATGTCCAATGTTCACATAGCTGCATGAATCCTTTTATAATCTATATATAAGAAAAATAAAAATCCAAAATGACATGTTTTTGAACAACCGACCAGAACACCTGATATAAATATCAATATTTTCCCATCACACAGCTGTTGAAAATGTCAAAGTATATATTTATCACCTATCGGGATATCTACGTTTAGGGTCTCCATGCATTTTCTTAGTTCGCAAGACTTTAGCGTCAGGGGAGCCGATAGTAGACATCTGTGCTAACTTATCTTTAACTTATTCAGTGCTGATAAAGGCCATTTTTATCAAACTTCGGCTTTGTGATAAGCTTTCACACGAGTTCGAAACTCTGATAACTGAATAACATTTCATTTTTGATATGCCTTTATCAAAGACGTGATATTCTTATCTGAATTTACAAGTCAGATGCCAAGATAGAAGCAATCGTTGTTTGACTCTAGAAAAAGTTCACCAAGATATGGCCCACAATAAAAGCCAGTTTATCTCTCTCTGCCGGCATAGACGTGACCCCCGGAATGTGATGATTTAATGCAATTGTAATTATTTTATGACCAGTTAATCTTAGAGTTGTTCAGTTAAATTGCCATTTTTTGACTTTTGAAAAAAAATCCAAAGAACCCTGCAAAGTTGGCCGGTTATTTTGAGCCAGTTAACAGGTGTTTCTCTCTTGGCGTTTTCCCTTGAGCACGGCTCTTTGAACTATTATCTTTTTGCTTATGTGGGTTTAGAAGAATTAGTATTTAATACGTCAAAAAGCGTTATTCTAGACTAAAATACCCTTTTGTAATTCAACATGCGCGTTATCGCCGGTTTTCATCATCCGCCATAACGGTTGATGAACAGGCGATAAGGCTTGGGGTAATGAGAGTAATTACACGTTATTGCACGCGGGCCGCGAACCACGCGCCTATTTTCGCCAAACAATATGTAATGATTAGAGTACATGTAGGCTGCGTCGCGTAAGGAACCTTTCATTCCATGTTAAATAACTTAAAGTGGGGTTAATTTCTGACACAGAAGTCAGAACGAGTTAGGTAGATACATGTGTCGCTCGTGCTCTTTAACGGCGCCCTAATTCACAAACATTTCCGAAATGTGGCCGGTCGGTCGGGGCTTTCTACTAATACCGTATCGGTTGCCTACTAGCTCTTTATATAGTAAAGTATGTAAATTCCTGTATGTTAACGCCCCGTAAGCAAGCCACTTACAACACATATACACAACATGTTGCGTAGTGTGATACTTCTCAATCAATTCACAAAGAACGTGACCACATTCAAATTTATAGCATATAATAATTATCTATGGTATTGTTTTCTTAAATCGTGCATGGTATTGAACTGTTGTAGATTAAGGTAACCATTAACATTTCCTCGATATATTGTTCACCATGTTGAAAACCAAATCCGTAATTAAAAAAATGCTCTTTTTGGAATGATTTGCCTGAACGCCGACATTTTCTTTCCTTAGGCGCAAAGCGAGGACGGTGAACCTAGTTTTATACGAGTGTTGGAGCGCAGTGGAGCCTGGCTATCATTTCTGCGCCCTGTCTTTGCCCAGTCTGACTGCAATGCCTCAGTATTTTTTGAAGGTAAGCTATTTGTCTTGTTTTACTTTTTCAAACTTTACATTTGGGAAAACTGATACAAAAAGCCAGCTTTATAAGACACAGCATTAAATACCTCTCCACTGGAGTGCTGCCAAGCTGCAAAAAGGATAACATTCACTTCCAAGATTGATAATTTGGTATCCTGCCTCACAGATCTGCTTAAAGGCAATCATAGTTTCCAAACAGCATAGCGTAAACATACCACTGTACATCTACAGTCTGGGGTCGGCATAACTTGTACACCAAACAAGATCCATGATCGCAATGCCTCCTACGTGTCCAAGACCAGACTGACAAATAAATTAACGAGGAAAGGAAAAGTTAATTTGATAGACTCGTAAATATTTTTACCATTTTTAGTTTGGCAATGGTATATCAATCAAATATTATATGTCAAATCACCTCAGATCAATTTATCAGAATCATGATATCAATACACCTATAATGTTTACGATGGTAAATAAAAGTAATCACAACACATACCGTTTAAAATGGCTTGTAAATCTGCCAAATTCGATTGACATTTGCCAGTGAGACGTACAGCTTTTACGCTTGTACAAGTCTATGTATGATCATCCAGTGAGACGTACAGCTTTTACGCTTGTACAAGTCTATATATGATCATCCAGTGAGACGTACAGCTTTTACGCTTGTACAAGGCTATGTATGATCATCCAGTGAGACGTACAGCTCTTACGTTTGTACAAGTCTATGTATGATCATCCAGTGAGACGTACAGCTCTTACGCTTGTACAAGTCTATGTACAAAAATGTATGATCATCCAGTGAGACGTACAGCTTTTACGCTTGTACAAGTCTATGTATGTACGCTTTTACAAGTCTATGTATGATCATCATGTGATATAATCTGACAGATTTATTGTTAATATTAACAAAAGATATTACATTACATAAAATTTAGGTACGATACTGACATCAGCTATGTCATGTTTTTATAACGTTGCACCAGTCATATACTTCCAGACTGATAATACATCCAGGAATAATTCTGTTTGTATCTTCTATAGTAATCCTCAATAATTTTCATAAATATAAATATGTTTTTGCTGCAGAATGACGCGTCCTTGCCAAACTAATTTCAAACATGATACTACGTATTAATATGTGCGTTGAGCGATGCCTGCTATCGTTCACAGCAGAATTAGCTACATGTACGTGCATTTCCCCTATATTGTATAACCCTATACAAAGCCTCGCATAAACATTAGCGAAACACCTCATAAAATCGATCACGGAAGACAATCGGCTGAACTAAATTGTAGGGACTCGGTCACGGAAACTGGCATACGTGTACGGGGAATATAAAACTGTTTACTACATCACAGGGTAACCATTGCACTTGCTATCGCAGGAATAATTGGCAAACACCGTGACACTAATATATGTAAATGCTTTGTGATTCCATATCAGCGTTTGACGTCTTATCATTACAAACTATCTATGAATATGGCACAGTTGTCAAAAACGTGAAAATTGAGCTTTTAGCCAATATAAAAGTTAGATGGAATTAGGCAGCAATAAAAGAGAGATAAGGTGAAACGCTAGCCTTTATAACTAATTTTATATTTGCATCTTTAAATCCTATTCACATTGCATTTTTAGAGAAACATGAATCATCATTTAATATGTATTGTATGGGAAGCGATCACCCACCACCCAGTCCGGTGATAATAAACTACTCCATACATTGATATGGAAATCTCTCAAGCCTGGCACCGCGCGATAACATCCACCGACTGATATCATCTGTCATTAATAAAAAGAAAACAGAACATTATATGCTAATTCTTATCCGTAATCAGCCGAGTTTACCGGACAGCTGGGTTAGCGGGCTGATTAGACGGAGACTTTCATTGTATACTGTACTTTAAAGCTAGCCAGTACTATCCCAGATCAGCCTTGTTTGTCAGCCAAGATGGATGACAGTCCCGCGCTCCGATTTCTATCGGAGCCGTAACACACAAACCAACAAAAGGTGTTAGGCGATAAAGGACATAGATAGGCCTAATAAAACATAAACCTTATCATATTGGGCGAGATTTTTCTGTTTGCCAGGACGATAACATACAAGGTATTATGTTTCTAGTAGCGACTTGAAGTCTTATGAATATTTCATATGCTACGTTGCATAATTTTACCATTAATACATATATGTATTATCTGTTCCTTATCAGAGCCCCTGATCGCCCGTCCGTCATGTTACGCTAACCAAACCTAGATTGTCTTTTATTTTATAGAGACGCTCGCCAACACCCGATCGGTCCGATCGCTGGGGCCCTTTCAGTACGTCTTTCTCTTTCTAGCAGATTTCACCCCGCTTTACTGCCTACCTTTTTACTCTATAGTTTTGAATGACAGATAACCCGACCCTGATTATAATGGCTGAATGCGACGTGGCGAATAGTGGTGATCTAATCGGAAAGTGATGGCCGCCTTATCTCGCTAATTCTGCGTATTGTTATCGTAGACCAAGGGGTTCCGGGTAGGGGGTACCACCCGTAGTATTATCACGCCTTTCTATCTCGTTTTTCCTCCACACAATACCTTATCGCACTTATCACCCCATAAATATATATGGCTATTCATTGCGGGATGTGTGCGTCATACCAATTTTGCTTATTATCTTGGAAAACTAACATACTATTGAAAAAATATTCTGTCATATTTTATTTCTGGCGTCGTCTAGAGGTACCTGTTTTTTTTCTGAAAGAAACACTGGTAACGGTATGACAGGAAAATGATCTGGTCTGATAAATTAGTATTCTAAGTTTACAACGAAGGGCAGTACGTAGTGGGAATAGTAAGGGGAACAATAGTCCATAAACACAGTATATACTGTCAAAACACAGTATCAACTGACGCTTAAACGTACTTACTGTATCTACGTTATTATTATGTACACAGAAAAATATTAAAACTGACAAAATTTGTATAATTATATCAAAGCACTATCCTGGGTGATTTATCAAATAAAATAGCCACAACATCTTTGCATTCATAGCTATAGTCAAACACAAGGAAATACTCACGTTTTTCATTATTTACTCTTCATTAATGTTTACATGAAAATGGTCCATATGTGATCAAGGTTAACAACACAATGTATGCTTTATACGTACAAAATGTAACTGATCACCCATGTAATATTAACAACACAATGTATGCCATATGTGATCAAGGTTAACAACACAATGTATGCTTTATACGTACAAAATGTACCTCTTCACCAATGTTATGTTTAATCACCCATGTAATATTAACAACGCAATGTATGCTTTATACGTACAAAATGCATCTCGTCACCCATGTTATATTAACAATACAATGTATGCTTTATACGTACAAAATGTATCTCGTCACCCATGTTATATTAACAACACAATGTATGCTTTATACGTACAAAATGTACCTCTTCACCAATGTTATATTTAATCACCCATGTAATATTAACAACACAATGTATGCTTTATACGTACACATGTATCTCGTCACCCATGCAATATTGAATCACCCATGTAATATTAACATCCCGATGTATGCTTTATACGTACAAAATGTTACTGATCACCCATGTAATATTAAATCACCCATGTAATATTAACAACCCGATGTATGCTTTATACGTACAAAATGTAACTCATCACCCATGTAATATTAAATCACCCATGTAATATTAACATCCCGATGTATGCTTTATACGTACAAAATGTTACTGATCACCCATGTAATATTAAATCACCCATGTAATATTAACATCCCGATATATGCTTTATACGTACAAAATGTACCTCATCACCCATGTAATATTAAATCACCCATGTAATATCAAATCACCCATGTAATATTAACATCCCGATGTATGCTTTATACGTACAAAATGTAACTGATCACCCATGTAATATTAACAACCCATGAAATATTAACAACACAATGTTTGCTTTATACGTACAAAATGTAACTGATCACCCATGTAACATTAAATCACCCATGTAATATTAACATCCCGATGTATGCTTTAAACGTACAAAATATACCTCATCACCAATGTTATATTAAATCACCCATGTAATATTAACATCCCTATGTATGCTTTATACGTACAAAATGCACCTCATCACCCATGTAATATTAAATCACCCATGTAATATTAAATCACACATCCCGATGTATGCTCCCTATGTATGCTTTATACGTACAAAATGCACCTCATCACCCATGTAATATTAGATCACCCATGTAATATTAAATCACCCATGTAATATCAAATCACCCATGTAATATTAACATCCCGATGTATGCTTTATACGTACAAAATGTAACTGATCACCCATGTAATATCAAATCACCCATGTAATATTAGCATCCCGATGTATGCTTTATACGTACAAAATGCACCTCATCACCCATGTAATATTAAATCACCCATGTAATATTAACATCCCGATGTATGCTTTATACGTACAAAATGTATCTCGTCACCCATGTACTATTAAATCACCCATGTAATATTAAATCACCCATGTAATATTAACATCCCGATGTATGCTTTATACGTACAAAATGTATCTCGTCACCCATGGACTATTAAATCACCCAAGTAATATTAAATCACCCATGTAATATTAACAACGCAATGTATGCTTTATACGTACAAAATGTATCTCGTCACCCATGGACTATTAAATCACCCACGTAATATTAAATCACCCATGTAATATTAACAACGCAATGTATGCTTTATACGTACAAAATGTAACTGATCACCCATGTAATATCAAATCACCCATATAATATTAACAACACAATGTATGCTTTATACGTACAAAATGTATCTCATCACCCATGTAATAAGAGGATAAAACAACAAATTAAAACAAATATCCATGAAATGTTGGGAGGGTGATTTTCGCAAAGCTTTGGGCACTTTGACTGAAAATAATACACAAAATTCTCTAAAAGATATAGATTTACATATACACAAAAAAAAAAAAAATTTGATTACTTCCAGTGATCATTAACAAATAGTTTTCATTAGATTAAGGTTAAGCGAACATAACATGGAGGGGGAAACAGAAACACAGATACCAAAGGCTTTGTCATAAGTGTTTTGAACAAGGAATTGTATTGCGTTGTTTTCTTCAACTTTATAATTTAAAGTAAACGTAGGAAAGAAAATATATATATATATTTTTTTTTTTTATGTTACTATTCCAGTACCAAATCATTGGTTCAAATCATCAGATTATATACAATTCATATTCTTGCCTTTTCATTAACCAATCAGAGAACTGAGAAGAGTGGGAATACGAGGCATGGATGAGATAACATGTATAAATTATTATACTTTTTTTTATATGTTAATTCGTTTTTGCGATTAAATAACTTGTGTAATTACAAAGGTGCAGGTAAACACTGTATCCGATTGTATATCATTTGATGTCCAGGTCTGTTTTAGGTCTAGACCTAACACCTTTTCCTACAAATTCAGATAAGACTAAAATATCCTAAATTACCGACAACAATGTAAGGTTTCTTTCAAGCACCGTCTGTATTCTCACATCGCCCCGGAATATTACTATTGTGTGTTATCTCAGTGCTTTAACGTCGTGTTCAGTTTCACATTTTCGTATTACGTCGCATAGTTTTGACGATGTACATGCCTGTGGGTTTATCGCGCCAGTGTATTTGTCGATACAAATAAACTTGTATATTCTCATTTGTTGTTGATAACAAAGGTTTTCCTGTGCGTGAAGCTGAGGGAGGCTCGTGTGTTATCTTGCATCCTGACTCGGTCGTGATTGTACTAGTGATTAAACCTTTCTTTTGTCTCAGATAAAAAGCTCACGTAAAGTTGCCTTGCTATCTGAATCTTACAGAGATGTACGGACGGGGTTCACCTTCCCCCTCATCGTCAGTGTGTATATATACACGGCTTCCCCCTCATTGCTGGTGTATATAATATATACAGTCCTCACCCCTGTCTCTCACACAACGCATTGTACACTTTCCAGCAGGCTAGGACGATACTGATAAAATATTGACGACAATAAATCATATCGGGATTATAAGATACTCTCAAAACATTGTGAAAGAAATTCATACAAAAGGGAAGTCAATGTTTCTAGGATAATTTCCATAATTCAGAATAGAATCAAGTTATGAATAATAGAACAGTGGCTGAAACTGATAAGGGTCTGGAAAAATCAAGATGTTGAAAAAATAATCTTCGTCATAAAAGCAGAGCAATAATCGATTGCATATAGCGTGTATCTGCAGTAAACAGCTCGTTATAGTGAACATTTAGGGAAGATGCATGTTTCCAACACGAACTTTAGAATTCAGAGTTTAACGTATTACAGTATTCAGTAAATAAATTATAAAAACGTGTTGATGTTCATGCGGCATACTGTGAAGCATAATATAGACTATGTTGATTTTAAATCTTGATTACATTTGTTTTCATAAAGGAGGAAAGATCTGGTGCCAAATGATCGAGGACTTGCCTGAGAACACAGAAGTGATGGCCTCCTTCAGCGCCCTTACCTGTAAGGAAGAGTCTGTGCCTGAGAGCAAAGACGAGCACGTGGACGTAGAGAAGAAAATTGACACCGGATTGTGCAGTCCGATCAAACGCACGCCAGAGGTCGCCTCCCCAGCAGCCCCTACAAAACCCAGTCCCAGTCATGGTAGGGTATTTATTCATTTGACCTCAACACAAATCAAGCTCAATAAAAGAACAAAAGGACAGCATTCATCCAGTTGCTTTCAATAACGATAGAGAAGTATTAATGTTACCTTATATAATCTTTATTTAAACAAGCATTGCGAATGCCAGTAGATGTATACAAAACATATTCTTTCTGTATATAATTACAGAAGCGTTCAGGAAAGACTACTGTCATATTGCGCATCAGTAAGATGTGCGATAACATTTAACTTGTGTTTGGTTTGTATGTTTCTAAACTGATGTTTATAATTACGTTTATTACAGCTGCTCTGCTGTTTGGTTGTCCTTACTGTGGCGTCCGCTTTAGCAGTGGTCGGACCCTAGACGGACACCTTACCTATTACTGTTCAAAGAAACCACAAGACTTCTCAGTAGCGACTAAAGCAGCAGATCAGGAACAAACGTCACCCAGATCCTGTGATGACGTAGCAGGTAAATTTGCACGTGCAGCAATCATTCCTTAGAGATATTAAATTTACACAACACATTTTGATTTAATCTGAAAGCATACGCCCCACACAACCTATTTTAAGCAAGCATTGAGCTCAAAAAATAACTATGTTGTACAGATCTATTAATATCCTATACGGATCTATTTTTTATTACTTGTCGATGTTCTGGTTGATAAAGAATACGAAACTTAAACGTCTTAAGTAATTAATCAGAATATTTGTGCTTTTCAGAACAATGTACCGAACGAAAGAGAAAGAGCCCGTCCTCCCCGGATAGCCAGAAGGATTTGTTTATGAAGACAGAACCAGAATCTCCCGGAACTAGATCTGAGACAGAAAGTCCACCATCTAAAAAAGCCAAACTTGTGGAGCACTACAAGTGTTCATTCTGTTCCTATACTGCAGACAAAATGTCAAGTTTGAATCGCCATATGCGTATACATAATCGAGGAGGACGATCTCAGACTGAGCCCCGCCCAGAAAGCGTACCCGTGCCAAAATACGAAACCTATTGTAAACATTGCAATATTCAGTTTTCGTCCGTCAGTACATTCAATTGCCATAAAGAATTTTACTGTTCAAGGAGGGCCGGCAACAATGACGTCACAGAAAATGGAAGTGATAGCAGTTCACCCTCACCCAACCCCAGTGCTATTTCACCAATATCCAGAGCCTCCATTATGGACTCTGCAGAGTTGGCCAGGCTGCATGGCTTCATGGGTAACTCCCCGTTCATGCATGGACAAACGCGTGTTATAATCGGACCTCCAATAATTGCACCGGAAGGAGTGTCCGGTATGCCAACTGTTATAGTGCAGCCTGTCGTTTCTCAAATTTCTTCCTCAGAGACCTCAAAACCGGCTGTTGTTACTTCAAGTCACCGACATTGTGAACTGCGTACCACCTCATCCACTGAACAACCTCTTGACCTCACAACTCCTAAAAAGCAGACTGATAGTTATGAGGAACATTCGGATATCGTGAAAACCGAACCAAAAAGTCCCAGTTCTCCATTGAACCTAAAGTCACCGAAAAGTCAGGCGTCTGAGTCACCAAAACTGAGGGATGAAAGGGAGACGACTCCTAATTCACAACAGATTATGTCACCAGCTCTAATACCACCCTTGTTGCCGGTCACTCAGCAACCATTCTTCAACAGCAAGCCGGTCCCTCAGGTACCTTCCTCTGTCAGCAAGTGTATTGACTGTAATATAGTGTTCTACAAGCATGAGAACTATCTCATACACAAGAAACACTATTGTTCGGGAAGGCGAAATAGAACCTCTTCACCCGGTACCAGTAGTGAGGATTCTATCGGTGCAGCATCAACACCGGGTGCAAAATCTGTTGAACTCGAAAACAACAAACGAGACCGCCATTACTCGTCAGAAACGGATATATCCGATAAATATTCTCACAAATCAGCCAGTCCTGTGATTCAAAGCCCGAAGCCAGACAACAAGCATTCACCTGACGCTTCCAGACCATCTTCCATCCCAGACGAAATTCTATATCGCTTTTATTGTGTTCCGTGTAAAATCAAGTTCAGTTCCTCAAGCACGCTTAAAGCCCACAAAAAGTTCTATTGCCCTCATGGTCAGGAAAGCGAACTAACTGTACTACCGAAAAAGCCATTGGAAGATCGTGGGAATTCTCCAGTTAACGACGACGGCGGGAACTTTAAATGTGATAGATGCGATAGTAGCTTTATCTCCGCCAGACTACTCAAGCTACACTTCTGTACCGGTATCACAACAGCAACGCCTCTCATGCGTTGTCCATACTGCGACTTTGTCACACACACGGATGTGCGTATCTCTGACCATATGAAGGTCCATATGCCCAGCAAGGCCTACCGTTGCACGTTGTGTGGTTACCGAGGTAACACGGTACGCGGCATGCGTATGCACGGGAAAATGCATGTTGACAGCGGAGAGGAATTCGCTGACGAGAACATGATAGAGATTGAGGAGCCTCCTTTATTGCCTGTAAAGGCGAGACATATCATAGAAAACGGCCCAATCAATATGGAAGCGGAACTGATTAGACTGAAAAATGAACCATATAAACGCAGACGCTCACGCAAATCATACGAAAAAAGTGAGAATATGCTGATTCATTCAGAGCGCCCGATCATGAACGCATGTGCTCTCTGTGGCCAAACTTTCACTGATCTGAGAAGTTTCGCTTTGCATATAAGAATGCACGAGGTAGCCGCCCTCCAGGCCGCTGCTGCTAACAGTCTTAAGTGCCAATTCTGTGAGGATCTGTCGGAAAATTTCGATGACCTCATGAAACATATACAAAGTAAACACCCGGACAAGTTTATATTCGATCAAGGCAACAACAGGTCAAAATCAGAGTCAAGATCAGAACAAACAACCCGATCTAACTCACGGTCGAGCTCCGCAAACTCACACCCTGATAGTGTCAACCAACCTGCGTCAAGTCTCTCCCCAACGGGCAGTCATCGCGACAGTAACGCAAACATAGTTGATATCAAACAGGAACCGTCCGAGAACGGATATTGCTCGCCTGCCAGTGACACTCAAAGCAAAGTCAGCATCAAAGAAGAACCGCAGGATTTCTCCGACAACGCTTCAAACAGATCGAGCGTTCACTCACCTTTAAGCGATTCAAAGTTGCAGGAAAACGATACATTTAAAGATGAAGAGGTTGGAAAGCATTTAAACTCTGAAATTCCCGAAAAAAGATCTGAAAAGAAATCTCCAAGTCCCGTGTCTTCGAGGTCATATTCACCTGTGATGAAGCTACCTTCGCCCTCTATTAAGAAATCTCCCTCTTTGGAGAGTGACTCGTTTGCTCAGCCGTTAAACGTGCCTGTTCCCGACTCCTCTCAGATGCTCCCCTACTATCACCTCCTGCCAGGCGTCGGTTCGATGCCACGACTTGTTCCACTCTCAACGTCTCCCCCTACTTCCGGGGGTACGACCCCGGAATCGCGGTCGGAGGGCTCGGGGCCACAATACTGCAGACATTGTGATATCTCATTTAAATATTTTGCTACTTTTCTCGCCCATAAAAAGTACTATTGTACAGCACGTCCGGGCGAGGAGTTCAGTTCGCCAACACAGGCGTGAATCCGGGCAGCGAGATCTTTTCTATGATTTTGTGCCATAGACTCTCTATCCATAGTGCTATTTAGTTATTTTTCATTTAGCTAGTATATCATACATCGTCCCTCCGGACATTGGTTTGACCAAGTAGTGCTATAGAGACAGTACGGAAGGATATATTGTACATTCCAAAACACTTCACACCTTATATATGTGAGTCAGTACGTAAGGATTTACCTTTACTTAATCAAGAAATAATCGTATGAGATATTCTGACAGCAGTAGCGGCTGCGTGTGTGTACAGAAATAGCTAGTCAGGTAGCAACTGTAACGGCGATATGATCAATGTTTGCAATATCTGTGTGTACAGTAGTACCCTATCTAGTCAGACACGTATTTATTACAGGACAAATCAATACATTATTACCAGTATAATTGGTTTCATTTTGTTAAATCAAACTGTTGAAATTGAATACGTCTTCTGTAGTGCATATATATATCCAACGGAAGTAGTATTTATAAAACAAAATCAAAATATCTAGTTTCGATTTAGGAACAGTTTTGCGATTTCCATGTCTTAATATGAATAAATGTGATGCTATGGCAACAGAACTAACAAAACTTATTATACTTTTCAAGATATAAACGCTGGTGGATCCAACATAATGTTTCCAGTTAAATCAAACGTGTATAGATAGAGGCCATTATCCAATATGCTAGTCAGAAACTTTTTAATCCTGTAGTAAACCTGTTATCTCTGAAGTCCATGATTCAGGGATTTCTACTTGTTGTTCAATACCAAAATAAAAATTTATATGAAGTTATTTTAAGTGTGCTTTTGTTTTGTGTCTGTGTGTTAGTATGCTATGAGAAATCAGATTTTACACTGACAAAGGGGAGTGAATAGGCTGTGTTAACTCTTCCTGGGTCAGCTCAAGTCTCTGAATAAAAACAAGTTATTATTTCTATGCTATGTAAATAAAACAGTGTGGTCGGGTGGCGCAGTAGATAACGCACTTGTCTTTCACCAAGGCGGCCGTGGTTCGATTCCCCGATCGGACGTGAAAAGGTATGAGGTCACTTCTCCGGGTACTCCGGTTTCCTCCCATATTAAGCCCAACCCCCTCCCCGCTCCCACGCCAATATCGGGGCCAACAAGAGTAATTAATGTAAGCTGAAATAATTTGTTTGATAATTGTTATTGAAATTAAACAAAGTTTATTCGAATATCAAATAGGGTTATCAGAGGAAGAGGAATATACATTAAATTCTGCCCGAAATTAATCTTAAGGTTTTTGCCAAATTCAGATGTTTTTTAAGGTGTAACATTCCGTAGAAAAATATATCTTTTAATTTGGTTATTTACTATCAGATGAATATTGCATTTCTCTTTACGTAGATTCTTTTTCGTATTTCCAGTATCTAAAATTCTAAATTGAGTGATCTCGATTTTCTATATATATACCATCAAATAATAAGCAGATCATTCTCCTTTCATCTTAACCATTTCTTCGTATTGCTAGTGGTTACTTCAGTCCGGCTTATTTATTAAGTCCCCCAAACCTGTCATTTTCCGATCGGTCAACCAAGATGGTCGCTACGGCCTGTGATTGGTCGAATTTTTGGTTGATTTTGCTCTTTGGTATGTAGGTGATTTTTTGCATATTTCTGTCTATGGGGGCACTTTTGGGCACTTTCAACAATTAATACATGTTGAGTATACATTACAACTGACGAGGATCGGTACCTATTTTAGCTTACCATATTCTGTATTGAGAAAGTACATACCTTTTATTATTTTTCAAATAAAATATAATTATAATAGCTTTAAATAATTATCTTATAAAACCACATACAATAATATAACCAGATATAATTGTAATAACAATAGCAAAAGAAATTAAATTCAATGTGTATATTTATAGAAAATCTAAAGCGGTACATTGCTCGGATTCTGTCAAAACTGGCATGCTTGCTTCAATTAAATACAGATTCAAACAAACACTTCTGATATACAACAATAGAGTCCGGCACACAAACACTTGTGATATACATCAATAGAGTCCGGCACACAAACATGACAGGACACTCGTTTTGTAATAAAAAGGATTTTCATATCGCACTGATTGTTATAAAGCAATGTGATAATTCAAATCGCTATAAATTCTTAAAGTTATGATGTTAATCTGCAGATATTTTTATCCTAACCTAACTTTCACGGAAGCAGAATATATCATGTATGGATATTATGAAAACGATTCCAGGAAATCGCCGTTTTTTATTTTTAGACAAGGCTCTTTACACACGCGTTTATTCATTTATTAGTAATTTTAAGCTATTGTATAAATTTAGTCGTATATAAAGATATTTTTTTAAATTTTACTTTACAGTCTGAACAAGTTCAACATTCGATAACGTATATATGCACCGGCACAACTAAAGTCTATCAGTATCTTAAAATAAACAATAGTATGTTTACAGCCCATTAATAAGAAAGGGCACAGAATTCAAATCGAAAACGAACAAAACTCAATGACATCAAATCGATCACTCAATCAGTCAACCAATTAATTAATATACAAATCAATTAATAAATCAACAAAAGACTAGACACTGGGATCATGGAAGCAGTTATATAAAATTGAAACGTTGTCGATATTTCATTTCATTGTCAAAGTGTGATATTAGAGACATGGCTATGTACATATTGGCACTGGACCTTTTTCTCAAGTCTAGAATGATTCCCTCAAGAAATGTTATTACTATAATGACATTTGAACTTTGGAATTATGTCTTAAAGTCGAGGTTCTGGAATCACAGAAATACTTGGACTAGGTCTAGAGTCAAATTTTAAATGAATTTAATTCCAAAATAATACGTTATTTGATATTCATGGTAATGTAAATATCATCGCTAAAGACAACTTTACCAAAATAAGTTATCAGTATCTTCGTTTCTTTTTTGTTAATCGAATAGATAAAGTATTCAAGGTCAATCAATATGCAAAGGCCATAAGACTTTGGATCAACGTTAGGTATGATCAACGTTAGGTATGATCAACGTTAGGCATATCAACGTAAGGTATGATCAACTACCAACGTAAGGTATGATCAACGTTAGGTATGCTCAACGTAAGATATGATCAACTACCAACGTAAGGTATGATCAACTACCAACGTAAGGTATGATCAACGTTGGGTATTATCAACGTTAGGTATGATCAACTACCAACGTAAGGTATGATCAACTACCAACGTAAGGTATGATCAACTACCAACGTAAGGTATGATCAACGTTAGGTATGCTCAACGTAAGATATGATCAACTACCAACGTAAGGTATGATCAATGTTAGGTATGCTCAACGTTAGGTATAGTGAAGGAAACACTGGAAGGTAATACCTCGGTGAATATTCTATTTAATACAGTAATAATACCGCAGTAATATCACTGGTCACATCATATTAAGTACAATGGTAATACTCTGTTAAACAGAGTGTAATAGCTTACTGAAAACATAGAGGATATTTCATATTTTCCCGTTGAACGCAATTTATATTGCAAGAATTTGGCTACTAATTTGTATATTGTATATTATAAGTGTGAAAACACGAGTTGAAATATTGAAGTTTTCTTTCACAATGGGTGAAATATAAAGGAAAAAGGGAATCCCTCATTCTTTGTTCCAATTTTCCAATTTTATAATGCTGAAAAATGACAATGAAGCAAACAGTGGCAGTGCTTCATAACTTCAACAAAGCTCAATACATTGTAGGGTGGGACCCGAGCCTCCTAAAATGACATATAACATCACAATGACGGTCACGAACATTTCGATTTTCTGAATGATTTTTAAATTATTGGGATTTTATTGACTGTATTTTCAATGGTTTAAATCGAGAAAGTGTTATTTTCATAAGTGAGTGATATCTCACTGATATGTCTCACGAGTGATAATCCTTTTATTGAATGAATATCTGCCGATTTCACAGTAACATTGTAATGAAGTCGATATTATCTTTGTGAATACAAGGATACTACCCTGATTTAGTACAGTGGTAATGTTCTATGAGTACAGAAATTCTGAAAGATTTTCAGCTTTTATAAATGACAGGTTGTGGCTGTTAATAGCTAGCCTCGGAACTCACAAACAGAAATTTATGTGAGAGGGGAGGCAACCGACTGATAATGGAATACATGCCGTGTGTGTTTACACATTTCCTGTGAGAAAAATAAAATAAAGAACACATTCACATGTTATAAATTGACATTTCAATTTGTCATCTGAGCAAAATTATTTCACTGTTTTTACATAAGAAACCAGGAACTTAACAGACTCAAATGTATTTTACATATATTTAAGTGTTTGATCATTATTTAGAAATTGTTACTAAACATTTTTACTCAATAACATTCAAATATTTTAATCAAATATGATCTCATGGTGTTATATTTTAATGAATATCTGATTATGGTTAAATATGGTCTAATTTGTGTGTGCTGTTTTATGAGCATGTTTTTCTTCCCGCATGTTGGAATACTTTTATTTTAATTCTGTAGTGATTTTGCTACTTAAGGCCAGTTTTGTTACACTATACCGACTTTTTTTATATGTTCTGTCGTAAGAGTAGCTCCTCAGAGCTAATGTTTTATGTTACACTTATACGACAAAAATAAAGTTTCTTGTATCTTGTATAAAATATTCCATCCGGTATTAAACATTATCTTGTTAAAATAAACGTTCCTGTTAATCAACATAGGATATACTAGTTACTATTAACTGTGTGTTACCAGTGACACCGTCACCATGATAGTGTCGCCACAACATTATACAGGGTCAAAACTTGTGCTTTCTGCTAAATGTTAGCGGTGTTACTTCCCTGATTACTTAATACTAGCAGTGTAACTACACTAATTACTAAATACTAGCAGTGTTACTTCCCTAATTACTACATACTAGCAGTGTAACTACCCTAATTACTAAATACTAGCAGTGTTACTTCCCTAATTACTACATACTAGCAGTGTTACTTCCATTATTACTAAATACTGGCAGTGTTACTTCCCTGATTACTTATTACTAGCAGTGTAACTACTATAATAACTAAATACTAGCAGTGTTACTTCCCTTATTACTACATACTAGCAGTGTTACTTCCCTAATTACTAAATACTAGCAGTGTTATTTGCCTAATTACTAAATACTAGCATTGTTACTTCCCTTATTACTACATACTAGCAGTGTTACTTCCCTTATTTCTAAATACAAGCAGTGTTACTTCCCTAATTACTACATACTAGCAGTGTTACTTCCATTATTACTAAATACTGGCAGTGTTACTTCCCTGATTACTTATTACTAGCAGTGTAACTACCCTAATTACTAAATACTAGCATTGTTACTTCCCTTATTATCAAATACTAGCAGTGTTACTACCCTAATTACTAAATACAGCAGTATAACTTCCCTTATTATTAAATACTAGCAGCGTTACTTCCCTTATTATCAAATACTAGCAGTGTTACTTCCATTATTACTAAATACTGGCAGTGTTACTTCCCTGATTACTTATTACTAGCAGTGTAACTACTATAATAACTAAATACCAGCAGTGTTACTTCCCTTATTACTACATACTAGCAGTGTTACTTCCCTTATTTCTACATACTAGCAGTGTAACTACTATAATAACTAAATACTAGCAGTGCTACTCTCCTTCTTATTCAATACTAGCAGTGTTACTTCCCTTATTACTACATACTAGCAGTGTTACTTCCCTTATTATTAAATGCTATCAGTGTTACTTCCTTAAATACTAAATACT